CTGCAACTGAATCAGATTGGAATGTAGTGGTTTCTTTGGTGGCTGATATAGTCTGTGTTGTTAATGTGGCTGTCCTATTGCTGTCATGCAGAAAACTGTGCATCACTTCCTTGCTTCTCACTCCCACAGCTGAGAGGACTTAAGTACTGTGGAAGGAATATGATCAGACCCTACAGAGTGTATGCCTCATGCTGTTCCATATAATCTATATTATTCCTATAGCCATAGCAATGTATTGTTATCTTGGCTCATACTTCATGATTTGTTTGTTTTTAAACTAAATCTCATTACAAAAGTGATGTGTCTTTGCATCACAGACCCAGGAGAACAATCAGAGTTATGTCAATCACATGTTAATATGAAACATTCTGTATTTCATTCTGCCATTCAGTAAAATCTGTATCGTGTTCAACTGAACACTGAAAGAAGCATTTTGATGTAACATCTGCATAACCAAGAGTTCGAGGTATAGTTTGTATAATCAAATTACGTAGTGTTGTAAAATGGAGGCAATATTGAAACAACTTACAAAATTACTTTCAAGGCGTACATAACATCTAAAGAATCTATTGTCTCCGCCTAGATCTTTGCAAAAAGTTGAATGCTAGTTGATTATTGCAGCCTAGTCTATATCAACAAATGTGATTCTGATGCCATATACATTTTCTCCTTTTTCAATAACACTGCTCAAATCTCTCTCTAAATATTTTTCTCCCAACCACATACATACCAGGCTATAATAACAGATGGAGTTTTATGCACAACTGGCTTTTTTCCCCTGCAGTTGATCAAAATGAGCAGCCAGACAAGATGGGAATTTGCTGAAATTCTGATTTCTTTCTGCAGTTTTAAAGATTTTACAACTTATCATTCATTGATTATGTGAGGTCCTGGGTCCCCAGCATCTGTTTGTTGCATATGGGAGAAAACAAACTTTAGTGCAGTGGTATAAAGAAAGGAGAAGATACAAATCCATATCTTGATTAAAAAGAATGTTACTACAGCAGCTTTCTTTGCAGGATGGGCTCCCTGTCCGTCCCCCTACCCCCGAAATCAGTGCTGGGCAGATGGAATCAGAATGAGGGGATATAGCATACCATGCACCCTGAATGCTTAGAGACAGAAATGATAAAGTCAGGTTTTCCCAGATGGGTAGAAACAAGGGGATCTGTAGCCGGGATTCAGGACTGGCAACTTACAGGAAGATTATGAACAGTTCATAATAAGCATAAGTCTTTCTGGCAGTTGTTTCATATATGTATGCAGATAATCTATCCATTTGCAAAAACTGCAGACTATGTATATTTAAGGATCCTGAAACTCATGGATTTATTCCTAATCATCAGGAGACATGATTATACATTGCAGAGCTTCATTATTAGGACTCTAGCTTTCAGATTTCTTCCTCAAACCTCAGCTGTCTGTTTCAGCCCATTCAGCTCTATGAACAAATCCTACTTTATACTCTCCCCCCTCCTGACTACTAAAAATCCAAACCCAACCATTACAAATGCAACATTTACTTAATGGAATGTTCTGTTAATCAGTATTAACAGCAGAAATGCTTCGGAATATACCTTTTCCAAGAAAAAAGGAAGGTGGTTTTGGAAAATTTGAGGAAATATTCTCCTTCCACTACCACTATTCTCACACACTTCTTTTTTCCTCCCTCCCAACAGCCAGCTTCCATTTATAATGTCCACTGCTGCTAGGATAGAGGTTTTAGGAAGCACTGGGGAACACATGTCAAAGCAAGCCTACATCTGAGCTACATAAGTCACTGTTTTGTGCCATGTTCTATTTCCCAAGTTCAGTCAGAAGTATCATGTTTTTAGACAGGTTGCTTTCCTGAGGCCCACAACATAAGAAGTACATTTTTTTAAAAAAAGAACCAATCTACCAAAGAACACTTTCAGCCTCCAATTCTAAACAGAGAAAAGGCTGACAATTTCATCACTTGATATGTTGCATATACCTTCTTTAATCCTTTCACCGGCTTCCTGTCCCAAATCCAATTCAAAGTTTCTCCTGATCAAAGCTCTGCACAACTCTGCCCCTTCCTACATCTCTGCTCTTATCTCTCCGACAATCTCTCTCATATTATGCTTCTTCATAACCTTTCTCCTTACTGTTTCTTTTGTCTGCTTCTAGTCCTGGCTTTCATCTTTCTTTCACATCACTCCTTACCATGGCACAGCATCCTACTTCCTGTGTGTCAAGCACTCACTCTCCTCTCTATATCTCTTTTAAAACCCCCTTTCTTAGGTGATGCCTTCCCCCACTGATAATGTCTTCACAATTTAACCTGCGTATTGTTGTCCTATACAATAAATCATATTTGTCTGACTTATATTGTAAGCTCCTTGGGGCAGAGACCTTGTCTTTATTATGAGTTTACTCAAGTGTGGCTTTATAAATAATATTGTGGAAGGTACGGTAAATTTAATCATGCTGTGTTGACATATCTCAACACACCTGAACACCAAATAGATTACATTTGGACTAGTCTGATTTGAGAGGCCTATGCCACAAAATTCAGGACTAGGACTAGATTTCAGGCACCCAAAGTTCAGGGGCCCAACTACAAAATAGGGATCTGGATTTGTGTTCTGACATTCCCCTCCATCGTTCCCCAATACCCAAAGATCAGTGTTTTAGATTAAAGATTTCTAGTTTAACTTCATCAGGTTTTGTTTTACACTTACATATCTTGTGAACCTGTTTAAATGACAGAATGGGAGTGCATCACTTAGATGGGCTGTATTTAGATGCTGAAATATATACGGTAGTATACAGATGTTGTGACAGGGCAGCTGCCCCTCACTGGCTGGCAAAGGGTTAATAGCAGCCCTTGAAGTGGCTGGGCAGAACCCAGCCAGTCAGAGGAAGGCTTAGAAGCAGCCAATCAGGGCCAGGCTGGGCCCTATGAGAAGGGCTGCAGAGCAAAGAGGAGCTCAGTCTCCCCCTGGAGCTTGAGGGAGTAGGACTGGCTGTCTGTAAAGAGAAGTGCCTGGGACAGAGCAGTGCTATGCAGGGTCAGGGGAGTAAGTGGAGCTCCAGCCTGGCTGGTTCCCAGACTGAGGTCTTGATACAGGGGCCAAGGAGGTGCTGGGGCTATGGGGAAGTGGCCCAAGGAAAGCAGGTAGTGGCAGAGGGGAAGGAGAGGCAGTGAACGGCTGCCAGCTATAGGGTCCCTGGGTTCAGGGGCGGCTCTAGTTTTTTTGCTGTTCCCAAGCACGGCAGGCACGCTGCCTTCAACGGCATGCCTGCGGGAGGTCCCCCCGGTCCTGCAGTTTTGGCGTACCCGCCGCCGAATTGCTGCTAAATCTGCGGGACCGGTGGACCTTGCGCAGGCAAGCTGCCAAAGGCTGCTTGACACCGGCCCTCACAGGGACTGGCAGGACGCCCCCCCATGGCTTGCCGCCCCAGGCACGTGCTTGGAGCGCTGGTGCCTGGAGCTGCCACTGCCTGGGTTGGGGCCCAGAGTAGCAAGTGGGCCTGCCCTTGCCCTTGTCCCCCTGATCACCAAGGGAAGTGGCCAGCCAAAGCACTGCAGTTTGCCCCGGAGCAAGGAGCTGGACTAGGGGCTGCAGTTTGCCACTATGGTGAAAGGCTGGGTGAAGGACTGCTGGTTCCCCTGAAAGGGAGGAGACAATTTAGTTGGGGCACAGGTGGAGGGCTGTGCCCTGAAGAGGATGCTGCAGTCTTGGAGTGACTCGGGTGCCCACAGATAGCGGAGACAGTGGAAAAGCAGTGACAGAGAGTGAGATACCACAAGAGGAGGGCACCTGCTGAGGGACAGAGCTAATACCTAGAGCAACCAGCAGGAGGCGCCACGGTGGTGAGCACAACCCATTACAGATGTACAGAAATGGAAAATGGCAAAGCATATGTAACTATCACCATTTTAATTTTGTCAGGCTAGGGTTTATTTGGACTGGGTAGGATTTTGCTCAACTTCTGATGCAGATTCTGCAATATTTTTTATTTCATATAATAAACAGTCTCTGAAATTTTGTTCCTTCTATAATGTAAACTACAAGGCCTATGCCATGTATATCCTACACTTAATCTTTCTCCTCAAGGTAAAGAGATATAACAAAACCAGAAAACTCCTAGCTTCAGTTTGACTTCTAAGAACTATTGGTCTTTTGCAAGCCAAAATAATAATAAAAAAGTCTTTGTATCTAGAAATCTGCTGGGTGCTAATTTGACATGGCAATGAGATGAAAGTTGGGCTCATGCTAGTTTCAACATCAGAGGATTGGAATGCAGCCTACTTAGCACAGAAGTCAAACAATTCACTGGCAATAGATTGCTTTCCACTTCTAGATCTGCTAAATAAATAGAAAACTAATTAACAGTGTAGTATGGCAGATGTAACAGGTTTGAATTTCATTAGCGCACTAGCTAAGAACGGAAAGATTCAAGAAGTCATTGTATGTCCTAGTGTCTGATGAAACTTTCATAGTGTCTTTACCATAGGGAAGACAAAATATTAGCTATGTGCCCTTCCTGTAAGCATTTTCTGGTATATTTCTACTTTGACTTAAAGATGCTAAGCTCCTGAAATTCGTCCAAGAATTCTTCTAATTTTTTTTCATAAAACTGTTTTGGTTCTGAAACAGCAGGGTTGTATTTCTTTGCCTTTGTGCATTTCTGTTCAACTATTTAAAGCTTTATTAAATATCAGTAGTTTGCTAAGATATGTTTCGTTGCTTGTATTTCTATTTCTTTGATGAAAAGTGACAGGTTATATCATGTACTTTGCTGTAGCAGTTGGTAATAGATTTGCACAACAAATATCTAAATACACATGAAAAATAGATTTTTATGGCATTTATTTTTAGTCTTTCCCCTCCCCCTTTCACACACTAAATTGAACTCCCCGTATCCAGAATTGCATAACCAGATTTGGCAGTATTAATTAACAATAAAAGTAGTGTTTTGCCCCATAAGAATCAATAAGATAATTATGTTACTTAGGAAATGGTAGTCATATGATTTTGCTTTGGGTGCATAATGAATGATATTAAGTTCTGTGCAACAAAAAGGTTTTACAAAACAACCCCCGCTATAGCACCCGTCTGACATTCTTTCAACAAATACCTGACTGAGGTTCTTCAGCAAATACTGTGTGTGTGTGTGTGTGTGTGTGTGTGTAACACACTTAAGCAATGCATAAACATCTAAACCACATACTCTGCAAAAGTGGCTTTGGTGGGCATGCAGGAAATACCTGAAGTATTTTTGTATTTTACTATTTGGATCTTTTGAATATTTTGGTCACACTTCACATAGTTTCATTCCTAGGCAAAAAAAAATTTCAAGTAGCTATTATAAAGCTAAGTACTGTACATAAATATGCATGAGAGGTCATTATTGCCATGAGATGATGCTTAAAAGGTTCAAGTGTCTCTTACTAAGATTTTTCTACTTGCTCTATGACAGCAGGGTGAATACTTCAAATGTTCATTCACATCCCCAAGATCTGATTTTTCTTTAGGTTTTATCCCTTGTATTTGTGCAGTGGGGACTCCTAATTATCAAATTTTAGCTCCCAGAGGTCCCTGCTTGGAATCAGCCAATGACATGCCAAGTCTTCTGTCTATATTTAGTGCTGGATGCCACCAGTGTAATTTGTTTGTACTGCATTAGAGCTTTTCTGCAGAACAGGGCCTAACCCTACTCTGTTCTCTAGAAGATTGATTCCCCAGCTAGTGTCTGCAACCTTTGCTTTAATTCTCAGCAAAAGTAGACTTTGGAGTAAATCAAATGCCATCAGATCCTCCTGTCTACAAAAGTGTGTGGCTCTCAGCCAAAAGTCTGTCCACTGTCTTTATGGTTTCTATTCAACTTCTCTCTGTCATAGGTATCACCCACCTTCCATGCTACTGCTGTGGAGGGAAGTGGAGCACAGTGTCTATGTCAGTATTGCTTGCACAGTTCTTTATTCATTTTGCAAGCATAATACAAAAGCAAAAAATAGAATGCAATGAGCAAGACATTTAAATTACTACAACCACCATGAACACTGACATCAGGACAAAGGAATGCAAACATACAAGGCTATTGCTTTCTGATGTAGCTTCAGTTTTCTTTCTGTGCTTGAACACAGCAGAGGCCCAGCATAAAATCAGTGTATATTTATTACAAATGAATAGCCTGATTTCCCCCCTGGTTCTGAACACCCACATCTCCCTCTAACTGCAGTGGGAGCTGCAAGTGTTTCTCTTCTCTGAATGTTGGGTGAATACATTTTATAGACTATTTTTCAGTAATGACATCATGCCTGAGACATGTTACAGCACAACCACATTATTGTGATTCCAAATTTCATAGTGAATTTTCTTTCCATTTCATTACCACCATAAAGCTTTTTTTCCCCTATTTTCCCCATTAGAGCTGTGTTTCATAATTCTTCCTACTGCACAAACCTTTCCAAAGGACTGTCTAAGCCAAGGCTTTTTTCCGTTTGTGCGGGAGAAGTTTGAAATGCAGATTCTCCCCCTTTGACATATTAGGAAATCTGCCTCCAACACCCAGTGTAACATGCTGAGGGTGAATAAGCTGTCCCCAGCTGATGCTGTTCCTTTTCCTTCAAGTCAAGTTAGTCATATCCTCTGTTACAGCTGGAGGACTAGTAAATAATTAACCCCATGGAGCCAGCAGGTCCTTAGTTCTTGCTTGTAGCACTAATTCGTTAGTGTGTCACACTGGAAAACCCTGTTCCTAGAACACCAAATATTTAAAGTTAAATCTATAAATCCCTTATGTCTTAGACTAATTTTTGCTCATGCTTTGATGCTTGCTCATTTAGTGCCACAGTATGCATTCCTTCAGTGTTGCTGATTCCTGAGCTTTGGCTTATCCTGGAAGTATAGTGCCTCTTACCCCTGATTATCTGTCCATCTCTTGACTTATTGACTTTGAATTGATCTTTATTGATTTAGTAAAAAGACATTTATCTTTGTTTCCATTTCCAAGAACAACGTGTGCTTGTGTTACAGGACTCTTGATTGCAGGGTTATCTCCAGTGTCATGGCCTTCATCTGTGATAAATATTCTACTGATTATTTTGTATGACTAATCCCCTTTGAAGAGACCACTCAGTGAGCTGAAAAGTTACACTGCTGACATTATTTTAAGTTATTTTGCACTTAGCTAATGAACACACCCATTCATTCAAGACACTGCCAGCTTGGACCTGTTCCTCTCTGGTAAGGAAGGACATCATCATCAAGCCAATAAATCCATTCATATAACAGAAATAGCAGTACTCAATAGCAGGCTTGTCAATCTAGCTGAATTAAAGGTGCAGTGAAGATTTTATAGCAGCGACTAGGAGCAGCCAGAGAAAGACAAAGTGACAGCTTCCTGGGCTTTTAAACCAGGTGTTAGTGGATGAGGCAGAATTTGTCTTAAGACTACAAACGTTTGGAAAGAGAGGAAATGACATGAACAACATGAAGCAGCTCACTTCCTCTGCACAAGGGCAGTTTGGTTTGCAAAAGAGCTGCGGGGGAAAATGTTGCATATGCAGCAAAAATGGCAATAGATGCTTTTGTACAAGCTTTGCAAGAAAAAAAAAAAATTCCTCCCTCCTCCCTAAAACCAACTTTGTGCCTGAGCCCTAGGAGTGTTGTTTTCATCTGCTGAGCTATTAGATGCCTAACTGTCATATCAGAGAACAAACCTGATCATGTTGTTCACTGCTGCTCTTTTAAAATGCCATTATGGAGCAGTGCTCCGGACAGCGTGGGAGCTCCTGTTTGAGCACTCGGTGCATTTTGGGGAAATGAAATTCTGACTCCCAAAAATAAAAAGGGGAAATGAATCTGACCAGCTTTAAATTGATTTAGTTTTCTGCTTGTCTGTGGAATGTATAAGTTACCAATTCCAGCTGCCTTTTTTTTTTTTTTTTTTTAAAGTAGGATAACATTGTGGGACTGATCTGCCTGTGTCTGACAACTGTTATCAACCTCTAGGAACCTCAAGATAGAAAAATAAACGTAAGAACTGTAAGCTTCCTTCCTTTCCCACCCCCCAGACAAAAAGGTAAATTAAAAACATATTACTGATTCTATTGCCATACTGTCTGGTAACAATCATATTTGGGAGAGATTCTCAAGGCAGACCTCATGCCTCTGAGATGTCAGTAGTGAATGAATGCATTTCATGCTTCACAATGCCCTTGTGGGTGAGTAGTATCAATTAACATAACTTAGCCATTCTTATTCCATGATTTAAATTAATGGAAAAAGATTACATCGTGTTGTGGTGTTTTGTACTACATTTTGATCCATACATTGAGCATGCATTATTGTATCAACAAACCTCAAGCTTCCAGAGTGAAATTTGCCCACGTGCTGAGGACTAGCCCAAGACCTGTATGGTATTTAGGTCCCATGTAAGCCTTTGAAATAGGGTTTGAGAGATTTAAGTGGTGTATAGGTCTCGTGTTGACCCTCTACACAAGAGTGAATTTCACCTTTAATAAAGCTCTGCCAAGTCAACAAAAGAGCACCATATGTTCAGGCAGAAGCATAAGGTGATGATGGTAAATGGTTAGAGTGAATCAGAAAAACTTAATTCCAGAGGAGACTTTACATTCATAAGAATTTTTACATGGACGGACACGCAAAGGCAAGATATGCATGCTTTAGAAGATAGATGAAGGCAGTCAGCCAATGGAGTTAAAAGTATAGACTCCATTATCAGGATTGTCACTCTGAAGCTAATGAGTCTGGTATATTTTTTTTTGTACAGGATACAAAGAATCATGTAATGGGATTACAGAGACCTCACAATTATGTCATTAGTTTTTCCTTGTGACTCACACTCTACAAGGTAATTACTTAGTTTAATAGCAACAATTTGGATTGAAGGAGGCCAGGTGACCCCCATAGGTCTTATAATATTTCTTTCCTCTAAATGTCTAGCTTCATTTTCCCTAAGTCAAAGAATGGAATGTATTTACATCTCTGTGGAGACCTGAGAATCACCCCTTTTTTTTTATTCTGCTTAGCTTTCTTGGACTCCCTCATAGACACCATCCTTCCAACCTAAAACTGCCTTTTAGTTGGCCCTATGGGCCACTATCAAGTGATAGCAGTCACACCTTGTCTCCAGGGGGGCTAAGCATGCTGCCTCCACAGTCGCTCCAAGGAGTCTGACACACTAAGACTGGGAAGAGAACCCAGGTTTCTTACACTGCAGGGCAAAGCACTATTACTAGGCTACCAAACGCCTTTCGAAGTACCTTACCCCTTTTGAAATATACTATATTTGCAACTGAATCTTCAGCCTCCAGTAGTTTGTTCTCCACATTAATTGCCCTCTGTACAAAAGAAATAACTCCTAATCCAAGTCCTTTCCTATTTTCAGTTCATGCACCTTTGTTTCTCAAGCACTCAAATTGTTTTGCAGCACCCAGATTCATGTTCTGTATTGGAGGAATAGTCTCACAAGCTCTTTGAATAGTGCTGAAATGGTTGATTTGCTCTCTGCATCTCTGCTTATACATCCCAAAGTTATTTGCTTTCCTAACCACTTACAGACATTGAGTGGATAGTGGACAGAACTTATTTATCATCCCCAGATATCTTCCTGATCAGGGTCTCACAGCAAGTAACTATTCAAGACATATTTTGCTGCTGTTTGACTTTATCATAACTTCACATTCTTCCAGGTTATATTCCATAAGTCATTTGTAGTCATATACCTTAGTTTTTTCCCCAGTGGAACAAGTCTTCCTTCTGTTTGATATCAGCAAGACTTCTCACTTTGAAATCACCCCTTGCTTGATGTTCTACTACAAACTCCTATAAGCCTCTACTGGAGGGTAGCTAATGTAATGCCAATTTTTTAAAAAGGTTCCAGAGGTGATCCTGGCAAGTACAGGCAGATAAACCTAATTTCAGTACCAGGAAAATTTGGTTGAAACTATAATAAAGAACAGAATTATAAAAAACACACAGATGAATTTGATATGTTGGGGAAAAGTCAACAGAGTTTTGTAAAGGGAAATCATACCTCAGCTATCAACTAGAATTTCTTGAGGGGGTCAACAAGCATGTAGAGAAGGGTGATTCAGTGGATAAAGTGTACTTGGACTTTCAGAAAGCCTCTGACAAGGTCCCACACCAAAGGGTCTTAAGCAAAGTGAGCAGTCATGGGATAAGAGGGAAAGTCCTTTCATGGACCAGTATCTGTTTAAAAGACAGGACGCAAAGGGTAGGAATAAGTGGTCAGTTTTTACAATGTAGAGGTAAATAGGGTGGTCCCCAAAGGATCTGTTCTGGGACCTGTGCTGTTCAGCATATTCATAAATGATCTGGAAAAGAGGTAAACAGTGAGGTGGCAACGTTTGCAGACTATACTAAATTATTCAAGATCATTAAGTCAAAAGCAGATTGCAGAGGGATCTCAGCAAAACTGAATAATTGGGCAACAAAATGGCAGATGAAACTCAATGTTGATAAGTGCAAAGTAATGCACGCTGGAAAAAAAAAAATCCCAACAATACATATAAATTGATGAAATCTAAATTAGCAGTTACCACTTAAGAAAGCTCTTGGAATGATCCTAGATAGTTCTCAGAGAAGATCTGCTGATTGTGCAGTGGCGCTCAAAAAAAGCGACTAGAATGTTAGGAGCCATTAGGAAAGAGACAGATAAGATCATAATGCAGCTATATAAATCCATTGTACGCCCACACCTTGACTACTGCGTGCAGTCCTGGTCACCACATGTCAAAAAATACATATTAGCATTGGAAAAAGTACAGAGAATGGCAACAAAAATGATTAGGGGGTATGGAACAGCTTCCATATGAAAAAAGATTAAAATGACTCGGACTCTTCAGCTTAGAAAAGAAACAACTAAGGGGGGAGATATGATAGAGGTCTATAAAATCATGAATAGTGTGGAGAAAGTGAATAAGGAGATGTTATTTACCCCTTCACATGACTCAAGAACCAGGGGTCAACCAATGAAATAAATAGGCAGCAGGTTTAAAAGAATCATAAGGAAGTACTTCACACAACACACAGTCAATGTGTGGAACTTGTGGCCAGAGGACATTGTGAAGACCAAGAGTATAACTGGCTTCAAAAAAGAATTAGATAAGTTCATGGAGGATAGGTCCATCAGTGGCTATTAGCCAAGTTGGTTAGGGACACAATCCCATGCTCTGGATGGCCCTAAACCTCTGACTACCAGAAGCTGGGACTAGACAACAAGGGTTGGATCACTCAATAAATTGCCCTGTTCTGTTCATTCCCTGTGAAGCATCTGGCATTGGCCCCTCTTGGAAAACAGGATACTGGGCTAGATGGATCTTTGGTCTGACCCATTCTTATGTTGTTTCTTCTTGATAACTGATGTACAGTGTTAACTGAAAGGGCCCAGTACTGTGTGGCATTCCATTAATCACTCCCTCCTAAGTAACCTGTACTCAATCAATCCCGTACACAGTCTAACCTTATGTACTAGTCTTTCATGCAGCACTGTATCAAAGCATTCTTGAAATCCAGATATGCTACACCTGATTCCTCCACCCATGTCAACTCTCATTTTCTAATGCTCAACAAGATTAAAAAAATTTTTTTGTTAAGCATGATCTCTCTGAAAAGTATATGTTCAATGATTCAGGTTGTCTGTACCTGGTAATGATCATAATCAAAGAGCCTAGAATCTTATCTAGTACACCAACCTCCTGTTTTTTCCCCTTGATCCTTTTTAAAATAGGGATGTAATGTTGACTCCTCTTCAGTTCCTGCATACCTCTCCAGTTTCCAGTAAAGAATTAAAAATTTCCCCACTGGTTTAATCCATTTGGCATTCTTTTAGAATTTGAATTCTGAGAGGCAGCCCACCCCATTCTGGAGTAGTTTTCGTTTTCAGTAGTTTCAACAATTTCCTTTATTTTTAACCTATTCTACTATGGTCTTTATTTTTTTTTTAGTAATTGTTCATTATCTAACCCTGAAAAATGTATCAAGATATCTGGCATATTTCCCCTGCTGAATACTGAGACAAAAGTAATAATTCACTTTTCCAGCAATATCTACCTCTTCTGTCAAAGTAGCCCACGAAAGCTTATGCTCTAATAAATTTGTTAGTCTCTAAGGTGCCACAAGTACTCCTGTTCTTTTTGCGGATACAAACTAACACGGCTGCTACTCTGAAACTCTTCTGTCAAGTTACTCCCACCATCCCTCAAGAAGAGGACTGCCATCTTACTCACTGACCTTTTGCTTCTTATATACCAAATTTATAAAATCTTTTATTGTGTTCTCATCTTTTCTTGTCTCCCTTTCCTTTCTAGTCTTAGCTTTTTTGGATCATTTTCTTGCAGTCTTCTTTTACTTTAGGCTTCTGTACCAGTTCCTGCAGCACTGACCCTGCTGATTTATAGGTCTCATATAGTCTTCTCTTTTCTTTTATTGCTCTTTGTATTTCCCTGGTCATCCACATTGCTCATTTCCACTCCTACTATATTTATTTCTCAATGGTATACATATTTGTTGAACTCCCTGCAATCTACCTTTTAGGACCTACTATTTCCCTGATGTATCCGCTTTGCTAATTTCAGTTTTCCCATGTATTCTGCTCAGCAATACATATGCTTTTCCTAATGTTTTCTGTAAGTTTTTCTTTGTATTTCCAGTTTGGAGACTCACCAAGTCCAAATTTCAAAGCTAATTATGTTTTGGTCAGGATTTCTTATATACTCCCCATTTCTTCATGATAAGAGGCAAATCTGGTGAGGTGCCAGTTACCACAGAGCAAGCCCAGAACTTTATTTACTCATTCATAGTTTTTTTCTATAATGCTCATCACTATAGTATCTGAGGACATCACAAATATTTGTTGATTTGTCCCCAAACACCACTGTGAGGTAGGGAAGTATTATTTCCCCCATTTTACAGAAGGGGAAACCGAGGCACGGAGCAATTACTTGATTTGCCTACAACCACACAAAGTCCATGGTAGAACAAATAACAGACTCCAAGTCTCCTAGAAGCCCCAGTCCAGAATCTTAAGATAGTGACGGGGTCTGCTTGAACCACATCTAACCTGCATTTGTAGGTTTTGTCCAGCCAGAGGGAGTTCATGGTGAAACTCTATATTATATAAAAAATTTAATTGTTCATTTTCACCTCTAACAATCCTCCCTATTTCTACCACTCTTGCTGCTTCCTTTCCTGTCCTACAGCCCCATCCACATAACCTATCTTCTCCAATACTTTGCCATTTACCTGTTGTTTCCTCATGCATAGATAACCTTCATATCTCCCACACATTGCCTTCTGCCCTTTCAACTCCAAACAAATAGAGAAACAGCTTACTGCTTACTCTAGAGCAGTGGTTCTCAACCTATTTATCATGGCGGGCCACATATGCAACCCTCTACGTGTTACGTGGACCACATCCACACAATATATATGCTACCTGTCTAGCCCTGAGGGGTCACATGGGCCGCAACTGTGTGCTGATTGAGCCACAAGCACCCACGGGCTGAGAACCACTGCCCTAGAGTGAAGAAAGGACTCGGCTGTACGCATTGCAGCATCACTTCCTATGCAACAGCTTGCAAGGGTCTGAAAGTCTATTTTGCAGTTGTTGTGCACTTCGGTAGCACAGCACAAAGGAGCCCATCACTTTTTAAACTTTTTTTGGTAAAGTACCAGATTCCTCAAAGAAGGGCCTCCGCATTAAGAATTTGCTTTTCATCACAAATAGAAAAAAAAAAAATGTGAGACCAACACACCAACTCTCTTTTCCCATCGCCTCCATCTTGCCACCTACTGCATTGATTTCAGAAGCACAGGCCCCTGCTTTTGTCTCTAACATTTAAAATGTCATACCCTACATACATTGAGTGCCCCATGTGAAGCTGTGGCCAAAAGGGCTAACGCAATCCTTGGATGTATAAACTGAGGAATTTTGAGTTGGAGAAGGGAGGTTCTATTAAATCTGTATTTAGCAGTAGTGGAATACTGTGTCCAGTTCTGATGCCCACAATTCAAGAAGGATGTTAAGTTGGAGAAAGTTCAGAGAAGAGCCACAAGAATGATTAAAAGATTAGAAAACATGGTTTATAGCAATAGACTCTAGGAACTCAATCTTATCAAAGAGAAGGTTAAGGTTTTAAATTGATAATAGATGGCTCTTCAATCTAGCAAAGGTATTTCAAGATAAAATGGCTGCAAGTTGAAGCTAGACAAATTCAGGTCAGAAATATAGGTGAACATTTTTAACAATGAGGGTAATTATTCATTGGAACTACTTTCCAAGGATTGTGGTGGAGTCTCCATCACTGGAAATTTTATGCCTTTTGCATTCAGTTCCATTAGGAGAAATCCTCCCAAACTTCCACATCTATTGAGCCTTTAAATCCACATCTGCCTGTGGTCATTCCATGATACACTAGCTCTGTACCGTTGTTTTCTGACTAGACAGCGTTTGCCCATATGGTTCCCCGGCAGATAGATTGTCTCTGTTTATGTCAGCTATTTATGGTGGGTGCCTCTGTGTTTCAGGTACACTTCAGAATCACCTGAAATGGCTCCTGTGGCACCTCTTTTTGAAGCACCATTGCAGCCAGTGCAAAGGATTCTGGGACATAGATGAGAACGAATGCGACAGAGCAAAAACAATAATACTCTTTTGAAAAAATAAAGGACACGGGAAGGATCTGGTGTGAATTGAGCCAGTAACAGCTATTTTGATGGGCGTGCCAAAATACTGCTTTTTTGCCTGTACTACAAACTAACCTGTATGTTCCTTCACATACAGTCTGGATACTATATTTTAGCAGGCATTTATTAATTTCGTGGTAAATACAGTGTCACTACATCTTCATTCAGTTCCTGATTAGTTGAGTAGTTTATGAGGTGAGGCAGTTTGCAACTACTATAAAATCCTGATATTTTCAATAACTTCTTATGACTGTTATAAAATATCCTATGTTATAAAATAAATTTGGGGTAAATCCTGCATAATAATAAAGCATAGGCAACATTCCCATTGAAGTCAATGACTGTTTTGCAGAGTAAAAACTGCAGGATTTAGTCCTGTAGCTGTTAAAAGTGTATTGTTGTCTTCATTTTCTAATGTGGGTGCAGAACAATTCTTCACATGGTGATATATATTTTTTCAAGAGGCCACTGCTCCAGTGAGCTTGCAGCACAGAGGAAATAAAATGGCTAGTAAGACAAAAGTAGAAAGGTGCAGTTAATTGGGCACCAGTCTAGAAGGTGGGACCCATTTGCCCTTGGGTCTATTCCTGGTATTGCCATTGGCTCAGTGCGTGTCCTTGGGCCAGTCCCTTTACTTCTCTTTAACTCTGTTTCTCCATCTTACAGATGGGAAAATATATAACAAAGATAATTTACCCACCTCTGCAAAGTCCTTTGAGATCTGTGGATGACAAAATGCTACATAAAGACTATGGAGCATTAGTAAACAAACTTGAGTGATATTTATTTTCATAATTGTGTTCTTCATGTGGCAGTTGCATGTAAAACATACCACATCAAAATGTCTTAAAAATAAGGGCTGATGTCATAAGTTTAAAAAGTGAAATCTTGAGAGTAAAAATGGGAACGAACAGACCATAAATAGACAATAATACTAAAAAATGAAAAATATCACATATTACAATTTTTTCTCTCAAATGACACTTCTTATGAACTAGTTTATGTCAATGGAAAATATTCCCCATTACTTCAATTCCTGCACAAGCGTTTAATCTGTTAGATTTTGCTCTAACAATCAGAGGTCACTTTGTTGAGCTAGAGCTGCAACTAGAATTTCTCTCCTACTCCCAACTAACAGGCTCGATTGTTATCTCAGAAATTATACTCACGGATACTGACCTAATGAGTAACAAGTAGTGAGACACTCAGCTTCCAAATAAAAAGAAAGGTCCCCAAATAGGAATGAGTTACTGTACATGCCACTGGAGATGAATGACATGCAGTGGAGTTCTAGCAGTGCATCTCCCAAGTGCATAACTTAAGTTGTTGATGGCAAGATAAGTCATTGTGATCTACAAAGTGCTGGTGTTTAGTACACAGTATTTATATTTTATGAATGTTAACAAGCAAGAAGCCCTGCACGAGCGAGTAGTTATGAACTCAAAAGGCTTCGTGAGATGTTTTCCTCAGAGGACTCATTAATGTGGGCTTTTAATGGAGTACTTCCATATCTGAATCTTTAACTGTAGCTATAAATAGGGTTTATAAGTACTTGACAGTGTGTGGTGAAGCAGTGTTAGCAATGCTTGCCCTCCCTCTCTGCAAGTTTCATTTGCAAAGGGGAATTAAAATGTTTAACAACTTGTTTAAACATATATACAGCCTAATAATACTGCACTTCTGGTGTGCCTGTCATCTGAGCATCCCAAAATGCTTTACCAAACCTAAAATAATTAAGTCTCACAAACACCCATATGAGATAGCTATTATCCCCATTTTTCTGATCAAGAAACTGAGGCACAGAGATCAAGTGATTTGCCAAAGGTCATGCAGCCAATCACTGGCAAAACACCAAGTAGCTCTAATAATCTGCTCTGACCTTTAAACACACAAGGAATAAATACTGCTGTCAATTACAATTGTTGTTTGCAGTGTTGTTGTGGTGTCGGTCCCAGGATATTAGTGAGACAAGGTGGATGAGGTATATCTTTTATTGGACCAACTTCTATTGGTGAGAGAGACAAGCTGTCTAATTACACTGAAGTAAATGGGATTACTCTGGATTGGCATTGTTGTAAGTGACTGCAGCATTTCCCCTTTCTGCCTTTGCACATTGGGACTCTGTACTGTGACATGTCACATTCTGAATGGACAAGACAGACGTCAACTTTTGTTGTTAGTGATGGTGGTTTGTTTAGAATTACAACTTTTTGTTGTTGTTTACCAACCAACATGAAACAACCAAAATATACTTCCCCCAGCCTCAGCAAAGAGCCAGCAAAATTACTCAGCTTAATATACTCGACAGGAGTGTTGTTTTATGATGATATAGTAAAATTCGCTGGAGGAGCACATCCTTTAATAAATCAACATAATATTATCCATAGCAAACCCGTGGCACTGGCGGATCTCTTCTTTTGTCTGACCAGTGGGGTGTGTATCTACTCAATATACCGGCTCTGTATCAGCAGTTTTCCCCCCGTTTTTTGAGATACAGGTGGTCAGTCATCACAAATCTAACTGTCAGTATTTTAAGTGTTGATGTTTCAAAGTGTCTGCTTGATGCTTTGCCACAATATGAAGGCTCAAGAGGTAAAGATCCTCGTCTTTTCTTTCCTAACCTGGATTTCAATGCTATTTTCTTCTAATCTATTTAAAGGGACTCTAGAAAGCTCCTTAGAATCCCATGCAGCAATTCCCTAGGATGCCATTTGTAGGTGAATACAGACACACATGTATGGGCCTGACTCGGTGCTATATTACTCCAGTTGCATGCCAGTGTAACTCCATCAAAATTTAAAATGTCTTACAGCTGGAGTAACACAGTGATGCATCGACCCATATATGTATATCTGGAGTTGATGAGACATAAATAGCTCTTGCAGCCTCACTGGGAGATGCTTTTTATATCTAGCTAAAAAGCAACATTAAGTGTGGGTCCTCAGTAACTTCTTTGGTCCACTATGGGGGATGTGAATAAAAGGTACTGGCTGGGATGCTGGGCCTCAGCAGATTGACAGTATCCTTGGGGTCCCTTTATAATGCTCAAAGGAAACGTGTGATGTTCTCTGACTGACATCTAGCTCTTATTAGGATTTTACACTAGTAACACTGATTTGGCTCATCTCTGCTGTGACTGCAATTGAGTTTTCCACATGCATCTAGCCTGAATTTATTTTAACTGGGCTCCCTGGTTAGAAGGTAAGTGAGGAGGCTATTATCCCCCACAGCCTGTGTATCTGAAGTATCACTTATTACTTTCTCAGTTCTTTAGTTTGGGTGTGAAAGAGAATAGGTTAGGGAGGAATGAGATTATCATGGGCCAGGCAGCTAGCTACCTTTGGCTCTGGTAAAAAAAAAAAAAAAAAAAAAAAAATAACAACCAGAATAATTCATAACTTTGCTGATTTTTGAAAGTATGTGTTAGACGTTTTAACATCATACAAATATTGTAAACCAAAACATGATTAAATAATGTAGTCTCTCTCTCATCTAGTGGTATATTGACCTCCTATTTGAAATAGCTTTATGCATTACAAGTTTCTGATATCCTCACATTTTTAAGTATGAGATCATGAACTGTAACTATTACAGGAGATGTCACCTTGATTGAAAGATGTCACAACTAGAGCTCTGCTAGCCATATTCTGTGCTTTGAGGGTTGAAAATATAGACATGGGAACTAGGGATGTGGGGGTGCTGCAGCATCCCCAGGTTTTGCACAGGGTCTCACCTGCTGGCCCCGTGCTCAGGGTCCTGGCCGCCACCTGCTGGCCCCACACCCGGGGCTCTGCTCCCAGCCCCAGCTGTGGTCCCAGCTTCAGCCCCCTTACCCCTGTCTACGTCCTCCCCCTCCCCCCTGGAGCCACAGCCCGGTTCTGGCTCCAGCTCTGGGGAGAGGAGGCACAGACCGGGGTAAGATAGATGTGAAGTAAAAAGTTTGGGGATCACGGACGTCAGCTCCCGCACTGTAAAAAAAAGTGGGGGGGAGGGAAGTGATCCAGCGCCGCTGGTTGAAAAGGAAAAAAGATGGTGAATCCTCTCCAGATTCACTTGTGATGCTCGCTATCTCCCTGCATCCTTCCCGTGCCATGGTCACAATTACCATGCTTTCCTCTTCATTCTCTTTACATTTCACTGTTCCTCCCACCTCCTTTCCCCTCAGTCCCATTTCCCCCTTTTGTATCTTCTCCTGCTTCTTGTCTGCCACACTCTACCAGCCGCCTATGTCTTCTACCTGAGCAGCACATCCCTTTCCACTAACCCCGTTATTCTGTTTCCTCTTCCCCCTTACAATCTGCCCTGCAAAAAAATCTCTCAAGCCTTCAACCCCTTCCTTATGGGGTTGAGAGCTTCTTAGGTATGACAGGTACGCCTGGTCAGGTTTTGTCCTGCAGTGCTTTATTTGAAAGATGCTTAGCTCCATTCTCTCCCTATACTGTGAGCTCAATGCTGCTCAAAGGAAGTTCAGAGCACACACTGATCATGAGGAAGAAGCATGCTGAGCTTAACACTACAGAGCGGTCTTAGCAGCACTCTCTGCAGGAACACACTAGTTCTATTGCTCCTATGGGTCCCAGCCATGTGGCTTGAGGAAAACATGGATGGGAGAGCTGTAGGCAGCTGCAGGTTTCTAGTCTACAGTTAAAGTAACATGACAAACTGTGTGCTTGTCTTTTGGCAACTTGGCTATGGGAGGTTTTCTGGGTCTGAAACACATGGGGTCAAACTAACAGTGTCCAACTAATCGCTAGTTCTGCATCTGTACCTAGACTTACCCTTGTGTTGTTGATTCTGTGTGCTTTTTGTCAGGCTGTAAGTCACAGAATGACTTCCATAGTTAAGGCCTCAGCTGATTGTGCACACAATATCATCCTAACTGAGAAAATACATTTGAAATATAAATATATAGAGAGCTAGGCCAGTGTCACAATAGTTCATGTGAAGAAGTATTCCACATTGAATTGTTGAAGACATCAGGCCTGATTCTACTCTCACTTCTGCTGATGTTCCTGTGTTGGACTCTCCCTCAAGTCATGTTTACTGTCACCAAGAGATTAGATTCCAAAAAAAGGAATAGGGTTGAAGTGTTTTGTGGTATGCAGTATGCATGGCGGGGAAGTAGAAGCACTGATATGCCTGCATGGTGGCTGTGCCTTGCCAGATACAATAAGAATGCTTCATCTGTTTGGGATAAGTAGTTTCCATTGTTATTGGTTTTTCACACACAATATTGGAGGGAAAAAATGCTCCCATTTCAAAAAGTCCTCCCTTAGAATGCTGTCTAATTCCAGGCAGGAAGACAGGAGCTGGAATTCATTGGGGGAGAGAGGAGTTGTGATCAGAGCTATACAAATAATTTGTAATAAACATCCTAGTGATGCCTACCTCTGCCAGTCACTTGTCCACCAGATCATACAGTAATATATTGCTTAGAACTGGGTTCAGCTGGCCTTCAGTCACCTTCTGCCCCACCAGCGGGTACCAGAGTCTGTGTGTTACCCTCCATCCAGATGGCAACAAGTTAGTAGGCTAGTCTCCTCCGAGAGATTCTAGTGCTAGAATCAGTTGGAATGAAAAAGTAGATGTTGGCCACTGTGAAAATGAATGCTCAGTTGAGCTCTCTGGCGTATGCTAGTATTTGTATGGGGGAGTTGTTTCCAGCCAATTTAACCCCTCTGCATCAAGCAAACCAGACAGGCCATTTAAGCACTTTGGCACAGTAGGAGGAGGGTTATTTGCACTGTTGGGGTTATTACACCAGTGACCTCCAGCCACCCAGGTAATTCTCTGGTGGAGACTGGTGGAATCATTACCTGGATTAGAGTTGCTTCAGGCAAGGGTAATGCTTGTAGTGTCCGTGCACTGTTGGGTGCATTTTTGCTTAGGGATCCAAGGAGTGTTACAGGCTTCCGGAAGGACTGCATGGTGATTAGTATGGCAGTTTTCTTTAGGCAGACAAGGCTTACAGGGGTTACACATTAAATCTATCTGGAAACTGAAGCTGGGGCAGAACACAGCTAGCTGATTATTAAGCAAAATGTATCACATGAGCACAGACTACCAGAGCTCTGTGAGCAGCATTGGCTGCCTGTGTGTTCCTAGGAGGATCTGAAGGTACAGGTTTGAACTACAAAATCTTAAATGAGTTGAGACCTGTCTATTTGAGAAATTGCTTCTCTATGCAATGCTGCTGAAGCTGCTAGCAGGAGAAACATTAAGGCTGGCGCCACCTTGCTTTGAAAGGCTAGAGGTTGTTGGCAAGGTGTTCTCTGCATGGGGCCCTCAGCGTTGGAATTCATTCCCTCACCTTGGTCCAAAGTAGCCCAACTCTATTAATCTGCATGAGCAAAGTCTATTTCCTCCCACTGGCTTTTAAGAAGGCGATGCCTCAAGGTTGGGATCTGGGGTATTTTCAGCCAGTAATTGATTAGTTGGTTTATTCATGGGGTAGATTTGCTTCTGGGTTAGTTTTTCTTGCATGGCTTGTTTTTAGTAATTGTTAAAAGGCATGGATAACCTGGGATACGTGGCTCACTGGTCATGTCATACATTTGAAAGCACACAGGATTCTGCCCTCCCCCCCCCCACCAGGGCATCACAGACCCATAAGATCTGTGCTATGCCCCAACTTTGAAACAGTCCCTTGGAGGATTCTCTTTAATGGGCCAAGCCTCTAATGGGGTTCCACTCTTCCTTAAGGGGAGGCCATGCAGCCTCAATGCCTCTGAGACGGAGCCTTTGGGCTCCAGCACTACTGTTTCATGCTGGGAGCTCTGCCCAGTGAGTCCAACTGAGACAGACTCCTGTCAGATGCATTTACACTCTTTAGGGACTAGGGCACCTCCACAAGTATTTGCAGTGACACCAGGCCGCCTTTTCATAACAGAATCAGATTTATTAGTGAACTGGAGTACAGCATCAGGAAGTCCTTAGATTAGTATAGGGAAGCAAAGGTTAAGACTTAATGCGTACTGGCCATGCCAGCACTCCACCCAGCCAAGATGCTGTGGACTATTTTTGGCTCTCGCCCTCTGTGTTTGCCAATCCCAAGTGAGAGTTCAGTCTCTACCAAAGGCTAGCTCTTATCCCAGCCTCCAGTCACCTTTTACTCCACTGTTCTCCTGCCAAGCCATGCTGAGTTCACATCGTTCCGCCTACTGGAGCTTCCCATTGTTAGTGTCAGTTGTTCCATCTCTGGGTTCTCATTGTATTTCTGGATCCTCCCTAGATATGGGTTGGTTTCAGCCAGTCCTTAACAACCCATTCATACAACCCCAGGCAGTTCCTGACACAAATCTCTCAGGTCTCCTGCTCTGCGCCAAGAACAGCCTTTTAACTCTTTTGCACCCCCTGGCTAGCAATCCCCAGTCACTGCCATACACATCATTCATAAAAATATTACAGAAAATTCCCACGTAGTCACCCATGGTTTGGCAGAGTCTGTTGGCCCAGGAAATGGGTGGCCTGGGGGAGCTGACAAACTGCACAAATCTACAGGATGCAAGTCAGTTTTCTAGCCTTTACCCTAAAACAGGAACTCTTTAGAGATTTGCAGTTAGTGAATAAACCTCATCTCTTGCCTAATCTGTGTCCCAGCAACTCTCCATGTATTGCAGAGAAAAACCCAGACTTCCGTCTATTGTCTGTTTTCATTGAACTTCAACGTGTGAGACACTGTATCCTCATTCCTAGGGAGGTTTGAAGGGAAGTAATGGAACCTATCTGGGGATTTTACTCTGTGGCTAATGTAGAAGAAACTGGGACTTCTGAGGCTCTTCTTGTACATAGGAGTCTGTGCACAGCTAGGGAACCAATGTGTATCATTTAATAATATATAAATATAATGATACTAGTGGAGTTCCTATGTCATAGACACCTGCTTACAATTGGCCTAACAGACAAGTTAATTTCACCTAGGTTCAGCTGTATTTTATTTATTGGCTGTGTCTTCTCTCTTATTAGAACCTGATTTTATGGGAGGGAAATGTTAGAATATATTTTAAAGCAAATTTTGGTTTAATTTAAGTTTCAGAGCTGTTCATCAGTTTGATGTTTGTTCTTGTTGATAGCTCCTGCTAGTATAAAGGAGTTTTGTCTAACTTACTTCAGTGTTTGAGTTGTATGTTTAACCTCGGTTTGAAGTTACATTAGGAAAAGCAGATAGTTGCCATCCTGAGGTGTTCTTTGCAAACATGCTT